GTTGGAAGCATGGAAAATAATTCTTCACCTTCAGATCTAAATACATAAAAACCATCTGGTTGACCACAATGAAATCATTAGGAACTGTCTACTTAAAGAGTTGTATTGAATGCTTATCCTTCCACACAGGAAATGTGTATGGTAAGTGATTGTTGCAATAAATCCAAACAACTCCGGGCATCTTCGCGTTTGATGATCTTTGTAACTCGGGGCTTAAAGAGGAAGAAAAAGTGGTGGGGGTGGAAAGGCGACTTAACGGGCTGTACGGACCGGGCTGGCGGTGCCCCTTCCCGCTGCCCTCCCCGGGATTGAATAATTCCCGAAGCGGCTGGAGAGGAGCGGCCCCGGCTGCGCCCCGATCGCCGCTTTCCGACGGGGCCGGGCGGGACTGAGCCGGGCCGGGTCGGACCGGGCCGTGCCCGCAGCCGCGGCCCAACAAACACCTGTTTAATGCGCCGGCGGGGAGCGGGAAGTGGCGGGGCTTGGCGGCGTCGGTAGGCTCCAACCCGGGGCTCACCCCCGACGGATTTTATTTTGTTTGGGTTTATTGAACAATCCCCTCGGGCGGGGGAGAAAAGCCGGCAGCGGGAGGGAGAGGGGGCGGCAGGCGGGTGCCGGCCCGGTTGGGGCGGGCGCTGCCGGAGGGGCCGGTGCCCGGGGTCGGTGCCCGGGGCCGGTGCCCGGGGTCGGTGCCCGGGGCCGGGGCGCGCCCGCCGCCCGCGCTGCCCGGCGGAGCGGGGCTTCCCCCGGGGCGACGCCGCAGGCGATTTTCGTTCGCATTTCGCCAAGTCGGGAGCGGGGCCGGGGATGCGGGCCGGGGGCGAAGCGGCAGCGAACCCCTCGGTAGGCTGTGGGTTGGTTTTTTTTTTTTTTTTCCTTCTTTCTCTCTTTTTTTTTTTTCCTCTTCCCGAACCCCCGGCGCTTCCTCTCTCCGGCAGCCGCCGCCGCGGGAGCGCCCTCCCGGCCCCTGTTTTTATTTTATTTTTTTTTTTAAACTGGGGGGTTTTAATTTTTTTTTTTTTTTAAGAAGTTTACAGCCAAACAGGAGCGGGGGCGCAGTCCGGGGACCGGGGCCGCTCCGCCCGGCCCCGCCGCCGCCTCCTTCGATCCCCGCTCTCCTAATTTTTTTCCTTTCCCCATTAAACCGGTTTCCACAGCAGCTGTCCGGGTGTGCGGCTGCAGTTGGCATATTTCACGCGTTGGAAAAGAAAAAATTAACTGTTTTTCCTTTGTATCTTAATCCAGTGATGAGAGCTCTCCTTTGTTGGCTTTCGAGCTTGCATTTGTTTTATTTATTATAAGGAAATCCAGTTTGGTTCAAATATATAATCCATTTGAGCACCTAAATCCCCAAACAGCTGGCATTATTTTGTTTTATAATCTTTGGCTTTTCTGCGCAGAGCATATTTCTGAATTCCTACTTGACATTTATGGGGGAAAACTTTTTAATGTAAATGGATATTGTGATTTTTTTTTCCTGGGCATTTCCTAATTTACATGCATCACCAATTTTCCTGGATTTCCTAATGTTTTAATCTTTTTTCCTCCCCTATATCCTGCTAATTAATTTTTTCCCCAAGAAAACTTTTTTTCTGGAGGGAGAAAGACATTAATTTGCCCCATTATTTTAATCTCTGGCATTTGGAAATGGTTGAGAGACCACAAAAATGCAACCTGTTGTAGAAGCCAGAGTGGTGTGTTCTATTTATTTTAATCGATAGCAGAGAGGTGATTTAGTAATAGGAACTCCGAGTAACATTTTAGTAGAAGATTTGCAGATCTGGTGGCTGTGTATGGGGTGTGCATGTGCTTGCATATGAGCGCGTTTCTTTGAGGCTGATTAGCAAATGGGGTTTACGCTTCTAACCAGCAGTCACTGCTGTTTTCTCCTCTTGCTGGGTGTTTGTGGTGCCTGCTAAATCCAGTTCTGTCATGGCTTCTCCTACTTTTATCAGACTTCCCTCTTAACTTATGCAGCACAGTGCTGCAACCTCTGTAAGCAGAGGAATCAAAACTGAACCAGAGAGGACTGATTACAACTTGTTCCTTGGTGAGAGAATTTTTTTTTGTGGTTCAGAGCTAAAGGCTCTTGATTCAATTTGCCTTGGTTGTGGCATGTTTAGCCTTGTTATTAGTAACATACATGATTACACATCTTGTACATCTTAAACAGGGTAGCTCTGAAAACCAATTACTATGCATATAGGTAGCCATGAAAAAAAATAGTAAGAAAATCAGAGTTAGTTTTCAGTGTGTCTGTCTAACCTTCATACTTGGTAGACAGTTTATGTAGCTTCCTAGATTGATCTCCACCCCTCCTCCCTCTACTCCTTGTTTAGTTAATTCAACAAAGACTTTTTGCAATCTGTTTGGAGTTTGTCTGATGCCGTGGAAAAGTAGCTGCTGATTTATTTGGTTGCTTTTCGATTTCTGTCTCTAGCCCGTCTTTTCTCCTCCTTTCAGCGGGGATGTCAGCTGTTATTACTTCCTATTGATCCCTTTGCAAAGTGAGAAGTGAACTAAAATTAATGTCAATTCCACTGCTCGGATCAATAGCTGGAGTTATTTTAATCTGGATTTGCGCGAGGTGCTAAATTAAAAAAAATCAGCATAGAGGCAGAAAAGTAGCAGCTCCTCACTCCACCTGTGCCCACTGCCTTCCCAGCACCCAAATGTTCCCTCCAGCTGATTACCCTGCAATCCATATTTTTTTAATTAAGAAGGTCAGTTAGTTTTCTTATTTTTGGGTTCTGTATTTAAACCTATGACATTTTGACATTGGGAGTGTATTAACGATAGATTTTCATAATGACTGGTCCGCCGCAGCCTAATCTGTCCGTGTTGCTGGGGGGCGGGGAGGTGTTGGGCGAGCAAGGAGCAAGAGAGAACGAAAAAGGAAGTGGGAGCCGAAAAAAAATTAAATTTGGCCGGCTGAGATATTGTAATGTGTTGATTTATTCCTGGCGTAATGAAGTTTGCAAACGAATAAACGACCATAGTGATTCACAGTATCCTACAGGAGTGTCAAGTGTTGCGGCCAGATTACTAATTTATGAAATACATTTAACGTAATGGGGTGAAAGCACAAGTAAAAATAGAAAAGCAGGCAGAGGTGGTTGCTTTTTTTTTTTTTTTTCCCTGGAAATCCACGTTTTTCCGTGATTGCTCAGTTTCACTTCCGTGTTAATGATTGTTTATTTCTGAGGACAGTGGCTTATTTGTATGCATTTCTTTAGATGTATAATTATGTGTGTGTGTATATACATATTTACATGGTTACACGAGCCCCCAGCCAGTGGCTGCAGTTTCCTGACCTCCAGGTTTTGATCAGCCTCGTGTGAAGCAGCAGAGCAAGTGTACCCAGGACTGCAGTGCTGACCAGGATGCCCTTGGCACCCCTCGCTCTTCCTCTCCCCTTCGCTCTCTGTGGCAAGAACTCAATGAGAAAGTTATTTAAAATTTGGAAGAGAGCAGATCTGTTAATGTGAGATACATAATCTGGTAATTTAGCAATGATGTCTATAAGGATGGGTGCCAAATGAGGAAGCAGAGAGATGATGTCCACTCATCTTCACAATTCATAACAGTCAGTGGAGCGGCTGGGTACAGGATGGGAGAGAGGAAATGCTATCACTGAACTGCATTAAAGCCCCAGACTGGATTTCATACACTTTGTTAACCTAGGCTCCCTCATTCATGGAGTACAAAAGGCACTCCATTAGGGAGACACTCTTTCACTAAGTTTTATTTGAGATGTTTGACCCTCTGGATTTAAGAGGCACAATTTGTAACAGCTTTTTATTATTATATGATTTTTCTGGCCCTTTGAGCTCCGGTGGCTAGTATATTGTTTCAAAGTTATAGTCCTTGTATTTTAAGCTGGGTTGTGGGGCCTGAATGGCAGGCGGCGGAAGCTTAAAAGAAAAGACACGAGATTGATTGGGGGAGAAAATAACAACACAGAAAGCCACTGCGAACTGGGGGAGACACAGAAAGGAACATTTTCCCTTCTTTCACCCTGGGAGGGGGCTGTGGCTGGGTGGGTGGCTGCCACCAACCTGGGAGGCTCAGCAAGATGCAAGGCAGAAATTTTGTTAACATTTTCCTCTAAATGTTAATGGCGCATCCAGGGCAGTTTACAAATCTACTTAAGAGTGAGTGCATTAGGAACTAAAATTACTGATCCATCCTCTCTTGTCCCTGACCCGAAAGGCAGACACTTGCAGAGATCAGATGGCAGAAGCACCCATTATGATTTTAAATATTGCCAGAGACGCCAGGCGTTTTACTGGGGAAGTCTCTTCTCCTTTGGCTACCAGGGACTGCGTGTGCACGCGTGTGTGTTTGTGTATTACACACACCAAGGCACAGTCACATTCCTACATTCCAATGATGTGTGTACATATATATGATGGTATTGGGTACTGTGTGTGTGAGTACTTACCTACCCATGTGTACTGTGAGAGTGAGAAAAAATACATGTCTGTTATATAAGTCTCAGGCATCCTGTACAGTATAAACATGTATGCTGGCTGATTTAACTATGTACTAAGGATATTTTTATGTTGATTCTACACCCCCTCCCCAAGCAAATAGTGGTGTGTGTATGCGGGGGCTTTCTTAAGTTTATTGCGGTTATATGCACATACCACTTGCCATATAAAATTCCAATTATAATTTGGAGTTACTATGTTAATTTTACGCTGAACCTTTTTTATTAGTGCATTATTAAATCTGCATGTTATTATGTTTGGTTTGCCTTTCATTCATTTGCACTGGATGATACCCTTTAACCTGGAGGGCCAGGGCTGATTCCACTAGTGTGTGAAGTTGTCTATTGATTTTCTTGAATGAGAACAGTGGCGCGTCTCCGGCCGGTGGCTCGTAACACATGTGGCCACCCCGCTGCTGGAGCGTCCCAGAGAGATGAGTGCAGTAACCTAACCGGCTGTGTTCTCTTTCCTTTTCTGTTTCCTTGCAGTGTTCGAAGGGTGACGATGCTCCAGTAGTTTTCCCCGCTCCATTCCTAGGCATCGCTTTGCTTTCCTTCCGGGGAAGATCGTTCTGCTTGTGATCCTGCTGAGGAAAGAGACTCCGATGGACTTACACCGGGCAGCGTTCAAGATGGAGAACTCACCCTATCTCCCCAACCCACTGGCCTCCCCAGCACTGATGGTTCTTGCCTCCACTGCTGAAGCCAGCCGTGACGCTTCCATTCCCTGCCAGCAGCCGAGGCCTTTTGGAGTCCCCGTGTCAGCAGATAAGGACGTGCATATTCCCTTTACCAATGGCTCATATACTTTTGCCTCCATGTACCACCGTCAAGGCGGGGTGCCGGGAGCGTTTGCAAACCGTGACTTTCCTCCATCCTTGCTTCACCTCCACCCCCAGTTTGCACCCCCCAACCTGGACTGCACCCCGATCAGTATGTTGAACCACAGCGGCGTTGGGGCTTTCCGCCCCTTTGCATCCACTGAAGACCGGGAGAGCTACCAGTCAGCCTTTACGCCGGCCAAGCGCCTCAAGAACTGCCACGACACTGACTCACCCCATCTGCGCTTCTCGGACACTGATGGGAAGGAGTACGAGTTTGGCACACAGCTCCCTTCCAGCTCCCCCGGCTCCCTCAAAGTTGATGATACGGGGAAGAAGATCTTTGCAGTTTCTGGCCTCATTTCTGACCGTGAGACTTCATCCAGTCCCGAAGACCGAAGTGACAGATGTAAGTACCTCTGTTGACTTGTTGGTGGTTCTTTAATTGTGCCTCACTGAGATACTCAACAGGTGATTGTCCCACAGTGCTGTGATACTTGCTGGAGGTGGAGGCAGAGCAGCCTTTCCTGCCTATCAAGCTCAGCCATGCAATATTGCCTTGTTCTTCTAAAAGGATTGACAGATTTTGAGGTGAGGTGCTCGTGAAGGAAACTCGCCTTCCAGCACATGCTGGAGAGGTGATATTGACCCTGCAGAAATCTCTCCATGCCCCAGTGTGAGGCTATAGGTGCTGGTACATGTATGTGTATAAACAGAGATGCAGCTGGAGTGTATAGCCAGAAACTTTCCCAAAGCTTGCAGCAAGCACGTGCCCCCTGCTTCTCCAGGTGTTTCTTTCTGACCTTTTCTTCATGCACACCATTCTTGTATGATTCACCATCAGGATTTGTGCCTCCGGTTAGGACAAAAATACCTTTTCCTCTGGTTAACTTAACAATATTTCTGGCCACTGAGGTCCCTCTTTAAGGCATAAATACAGATTGTTCCTACAATTCAATAAGCTGTTGCATCATGTGCTTTCTCTGAGTGTTTCCCCCATTTGGTGCCCGTTGAAAGGTGATGTGCCGTTTTGCAGGCCAGTGATCGGACTGAAGGAACCCAGTCCACTTGTTCATGACTGTAACTCCATGCTCTCCCATCACCTTGTCTCTTGTGGTGTTGCCTACACGGAGAGGCAGAGCTGTCCTTCGTGAAGGGCAGGCTTCCAGGTCTGCAGAGCTGGGAGGTGACCCATGATGGGGAGTGGTCTGGGGGCAGCAGAGCGTGGTACCCCAAGGAAGAGCACTGACTTATGATTAGAGTTTTCTTGTAAACCCAGAGCTGTAGATCAAGGAGTGAGTGGTTTGCTTTTCACATGGTCTCCTTTGTTCTGTTAAGTTTTCTTCTTAGAAAACCATTTTAATATTGTCGTTGTTATTAGTATTACTTTTTTTCTTAAAACCAAAACCTGCTGCACCGTTCCTTCCTCTCCCTTTCAGACGTGATTTTTCTTCTCCCCTTTATGATACCGAGGAGAGTAATAGAGACATTGTGGCTCTCTCTCCCCTGTCGGCGCTGCTTCCTCAGGCTGTCTCCTTGAATTAGGCACTGTGCTAACTTACCGGCGCTAAAAGGCATCTGCCTAAACCCAGCGTACCTTTTCAATAAAAGTCATCATAAAATCAACCTGCCTTGTAAATCCATCGCTCTTTGGTTTTGAAATACGCTGCAAGTGTGTCTTTTATGTCGGCATTTGCGAGGGTAGGACGATTCCCACTGAAGGCAGGAGCTGTGTATTTCTTGCAGTACCAATGTGATCTCTTATCTCTCTCCCCCCTCTCCTTCTGATCCACCCCCGACCGTGCTACTTTTTGTGCTGTAAACTCCTTTCATTGTTCAGCATCTCCTTTCCCTCCTTTTGGGTCCGTGGGGGAAGTGGCTGTAGGTGGGAGCGCATGTGGATGTGGATGTGTGTTAAGCTGGTAATGTAATTATCCATGGGGGAGGCAGGTGAGATGGCAAGGCTTGGAGACATCTTTGTTGATGCTCTTTCCCTTATCAATATAACCTGGCTGTGAAAATGAAGCTTGCTTGAAAGAGTACTCTGGGAGATAGCAGCGAAGGAGCGGGTCCGCTACCTAAATGAATTTAGAGCACGTCAACTGCTATGGATCTTGGTGGCAAAATCCTGTCAGATACCCCATTTAAAGAAGTAAATCTGTTAAATGAATTAGACCGCATGGAGCGCAGCTGTGGACAGACAGAAGGGTCCACATCCACCGCCGTGCCTTGCCTTTGCCAACAGCGTGTGCCGAACGTGGGTCCGCTCCTTCCTGGGAGCAGACGGGGCTTTGCGCGGGCGCGTGCGAGAGGCAGCCAGGGTGACACCGGCTCCCTGTGCCGCTGCCAGTGCCGTGGCAGGGGACCTGCAAGGGAAAGGAAGCAGAATAAAAACTTTGCAGGCAGCTTGGAAAACTTGGGCAGAAGTGGGAGGTGTTTTGTCGTATTGTTCTTGTCACCCATGTGGTTAAATTTCTTGAAGATGCTTTGCTGCGCAGTAGAGCTGAGCAAATGCAACATCCCTGCTATTTCATCGACATTAAAATTCTTCTGTAACTACCAGGATGGTGTACACTAAATATGTCTGTTGGCTCTGTATCATATTCCTATCACATGTAGATACCGCACCATGGAAACTTTGCTCCATTTAGACGGCGCGTTTATTTGGTGTGTGCATACACAGGTATGGGTGTGTTTCCTGGTGGCCAAAAGAGCAAGTGGTAGAGCTTTTTAGGGCATCCTATTAGTCTTTGATGTTGACCATCAGAAAAGGAAAACTTCCACAGTGAGGGACTCAAAAGATTGCAGTTAGCAGATATAATGGTGATCCTGTTTTGCTTTAACGTTTGCATTTGTATTTTTGGAGTTTCTATATAAGTGCGTACTGGGGGGGGGTTGTTGTCTCTGAGAAGTTTGGTGGATTCCTTGCGTAATTGTTATATATAGCCCTTTGTAAAAGCTGCCTACTTTTGCTCCTGATGGAGAATATGTTGCAGGTAGGTGGCTGTAGCTTCAAGGTAAAAATGTAATTAGGCTTTTCTACAACTGCGAGCAAAAATTGTAAAATTTTCTTAGATCAGCAACACCTTCCCATGTCTAATGGGTGCATTTCAGATTCGCAGAACTCATCTGTTTCGTTGTATTTTTCAGATTGCTGAAAGGGGTTGTGTTACATGGAAGCTGAATTGCTATGATTGCTCTGCGTGGTCTTCTGCTCCACTGCGCAGAAGCCTTTTCTTAATAGCTCATTAAAATATTTGTTTTACCCCATAGCTTAAATGGTAATTTTCTAGGAAACTTCCATTAAAACAAAATGATTCAATCACCGAGTTTTAATTTTCCTAAAAAACAGGTTTATGCTTGAAATACTTTGCAACAAAACAAGGTTCGAAGTCAAGCATTTACACCACAAAGAGTGTTTGGAAGGTGCTTATTTAGTCCTCTGCAACATGGGAAGAAAGTCTTGGCCTGTTTTCACCAGTGGAGGAAATGTGAGGAACTCAGTAAAATTTTTTGGGATACGTGCTGGTATATTCCAGATTAACACCTGGCCCTGTAAGATGTGTGTTTGTGCAGTAGAGATCGCTCAGCCTGTTGGGTGAACCTTTCCTTACTTTTAAAGCAGAGTGTTGCTTGGGTCCATACCCTGCATCCCCCAAAGGGACAGTATCTCCTTTGGCGTGCATTTGGGTGGGACTGTGCTCTCTGTTAAGCAGCAAATTGGGCTAGGATGTCTGTATTTGGACAAGTTGTCTCTTGCTGTAAAATGCAACACGTAAAATTCAGGAGATCCAGAGTGATGGAGTGTACAGGGGGCACACAGAAAAGTGGAGCCTTTCCAGGGAGATGCAGACATACCGTGTACTGGATGGACCCGTTCCCTTAGGTGCTTACTGAGAGAAATAATGCCATTTGTTAGAGTTTAGGAGCTTCTTGTAAAGCATGTGTTAAAGACACTGGAAGACATATTTTATGGGTTTCCTTTAATAAGCGTGCAATAATTGAGATTCCTAGAAAGAGTGGAAATAAATGGCATGTTCCTTTCTGCAAAAGAGATCTATAGCCCTATTTTAAAACCAGGAAAAAAAAAATAAAAGATTCCTGGTTTTGTTCTTTACTTCCAATAAAATGTGTCCTAGTGCCTTTCTATATCAAGTCACCGTGGCATTGCTTTCCCACAAAGTGACACGCAGAGGTCCATGCCGAAGCTGGAACCTCCTGGCAGATAACTGGACCTTGTCAGAGCAGACACTCCTGCCTTCCCTGCAGGGCTGCCCATACCCCCAGCCTCCTTGGGATCACAGAAGATGCTTTCCTGTTGCTGTCTGCTGCTTGGTCTCCGTCACGTGTTGTCTGTGACTTCTTGTGGAGCACAGGCCAACGTGTGAAGGTGATCCTCTAGGTCCCAGACACTGATTCAGTTTCCAGGCTCTGGCCAGAGCCTGGCTCTCCATGTCTCTGTTTCCTTGCTCGTGCTGGTGGCTCTTACCCAGCTCCTTGTGTGTCCTGAGGATGAGTGATTGAGCTGGGAACAGGCCGGGATCCCTTGGGATCATCCCTGGGGTGTGCTGGGTATAGTGGGGGTGGATCTATTAGCAGTATTTTGCTTATTATTATTTTTGATAATCATATTTAACCTTGGTTATCTGGGCACAGTTTGTGCTGCAACTGGTTTCTTTTGTGCACGAGAAGTTGTATGCCATATTAGTGAGCTCTTTGTTCCTCTTTGGGGTTCTAAAGAACATCACTAGCATGGAGTTACTTTTCCTTTTGAAACAACTGGTTTGTTATTGATCAAATGTAAATTGCACTTCAGGTGATGGACATCAGGGCTATGATGACCACAGCATGAATTCCTGAATAACATGGTGCTTTGGAAATCAGATCAACCCACCCGCTCAGACACGTGTGTGTTGGGATTTGTGTTTGTGGGCTGGGACCTGTGTAGAGAGCTCAGTGTGTGTATGTACATGTGCTGGGGGAAGTAGGGGTTTTTTCCTTATGTTTTATGGCAGAACAATGGCTTGGATGGGGAATGCACATGTGCACACATCCATCGCTCACAACTCTTCCCACTGGGATGCATCACTTCCAGGGCTGGTAAAATTCGGGGTCTAATGTGAAGTGATGCTTTGTTGCTAATAATAATCAGCCATGACCATGGGAAATTGCAAGCTTAACTCTGCTTATGAAATAATGAAATAAATCGAGTGGAATGTTTCCTTCCGTTTTGCAGTGCCCTGCATGATGTAGGAGGAGTGAAGGAGCAACAGTGGATTTTCTGAAGGGGTGGGCAGGCAGATAGGGCAGGAGCAGAGATGATATCTGTGCCATCCATCCCTGTTGCACCACCGAAAACACGCTGTCCTCATGGAGTGAGCTGCGTTGCATGGAGGGAGGTCTTGGAGC